ATATGGCATTAGCTTGACTAAATCAACTAAAGAAAAGTCACCTTTGTAGTGGTAATGCTGTTGACAAAGCTAACTTGCTGGAAGCCTTTTTCACTTAAAGTCAAACAGACTTCCCACCGAGAATTTACTTCTTCATGAAGAACCTAAAGTGCATTCCCAGTTTCATCTACTTTGTCCTTCAGATAGAGGTCCACATAACTGCGGAATCCTTTCACCTGCATACGCATGAAAGCAGACAACTTGGTTAGAACAGCTCCTAGAAAGACTTAATTCATATCCTCCTGAAAAGTGGGTAAAGGAATCACGCATGCAAATTTTCCCTTTACTATGTGTAATGACGTAAATTGCTTCAACAAAATCCCACTCTTTAAATGGCACGAGAAATACAGATAGTACTGTTTCTTTTAAATGCTCACTTACAGGCAGCCTCTGTCCATTTAGGAAAACTTGGACATCCTTTGTGCATCCAGCAATATCATATGCTCTTCGAGACATTAGTGCTACAATGGCTTTATCAAGAATGGTCATTCTGAGTTTTGACAGATCAGGTTGGAAAGTGACACACGGGTCATCTTCTCCATCAAAATACTTCAGCTGCATTTCACCAGCCTTGCCCATGTTGTCTGTCCACGTCTGAGAAAAGGAGGTTTTAGGAGTTGCAACTCTAACACGCACAAGCAGTGTGCTTTTTAAAAGCAGTACGCTGATTTACGAGTTTTAAATACTTTCAAATTAAAAAAAAAACCACAAACCACTGGTTAAAAACTAGATTCTCATTATGTCTGCTCATTTCATTATTCATTTGAATTCTATTTGGTGATACAGAAACTGTGGGCCAAATTTATTTGAATCACAGTGCACTGACTGCAAGTTACACCTAAATTTTTGGAACAAAACCTTAGGGTCTCATTTGAAAATCTCAGGTATAACCTTACTGAAATGAGAAGCACTCATACCTGCTTGAATAATTTTTTGTATTCGCGACATGCAGTTTCCACAGTAGATTTTGTGCTAAATATGTTGCACAGTTTGGCTCCATTTGGTCATTTCGCCCACCTGGAATGAGAAGGAAAACAGACTTGTGTTATTACCTTTGTTCCAAACCACCTACAAGAATTCCAGACTAACAGGAGCTCGGCAGCTTCAGCACAATCAAAGTACAACCGTAAAGGAGCAACAATGTCCTACAAACCCAGTACCTGACTACAAACCCAGATTCAGCTGGGATTAGCGGTCAAAGAGAATTGTTCCCGTTCTCCATGCTTGTACCATTATTACTATAAAATCGAGCATGGAGACTTCTCTCTGATGGGCTCAGAACACCGTTTGCATGTTGCACCAAGGACCCCCTTCCCCTGCTGCCTTTACTTCAGTTCACACATTTAAACCATTTGATCAGGCTGCTCAAAAATATGAGCACATATCTGAGAGTCTTCCCTACCTGTGACTTTCTTTACATTGTCATCGCTTGTCATCGTAGTTGCTGGATGTTAGCAGCTGTCCAAAGATCAGAGCGGGCACACAGACTTTCTCCACTTTGTGTTCAACAACTGGAATACCTTTCCCATCGTTCCATACACTGATTGTGTTATTCTCCCTAAGGGAAAAAAATGTGTGTTTTTAAGGCTGCAAATGACGGAGCTATGAAACAAGGAGTACACAAAAGCTCTGGGGAAAGGCCACCATTTCATGAAGAGCAAATCTCGGCTCAGCAAGTGCAGAAACAACCAGCAGAGGGAGAACAAGTCAACAAAAAAATTCCATGAAACGGACCACCACACAGAAAAATCCTCTGTCTATGCTCAGTGACAGAATAACAAGGTTGAGAGGAAGAAGAGAGGAAAATGGCCACAACAGAAAACACCACCACCACAAAAGCAGTCATGTCACCAGTCAGCACTCTGGAAGAGACCAAGGGACTAAACAGAGAAAAAGGCTTTCACAGCTGCTGAATGACATTGGCCCTAACTTGGATCGGCTGCATGGCAGAGCCCTCCAGTACTACACCAGCTCAGCAGAACAGCATCTGAGTGAGAAAATCAAACGCCCTTCACTTGGGAAGGCAATGAACAAAAATGAAATCAAACTTACACATCAATTGTAACTGTAATGCATGACATGCTTTTATCCCTCTGCTTGTTGTCTGCAGCACTGACTAGAACAGAAAGATTATTGTTTTTCTATTACATTCTCAATCAAGACAAAACTATTAACTATAAAGCGTCTTCAGCAGAATGAATGCAAAAATTCAGTACGTTACTAATAATCATCTTGGTATGCAAATATTTTGCAAGTTACAAAGACAAGAACTACAAGTTAATAGTGAATTTGGGAGAATTTGGGGCTGAATGAAATTGGGCTTGTAATCAAAACCCAATCATCCCATGAATGGCTTACTGTTAAGTATCACTAATGGAAGGATATCAGTATCCAACATTTCCAAGCACAATCAACAAACAACGTACTCTGCGAACACCATCCATCAAATCACGCAACAGACATCCCTTGGTCAACAACACAACTAGGTAAAAGCACACTTGGTAAGTTCTTGCATTTAGTTCCAGTTTCTTAGACATTCAGCACCCATTAGTAACTTGTCAATCATTGGCTCAACAAGTAGCTCCCCTTACCTAGAATCTCATCAAAGATTTTGTATAAGCCAGGCACAAAGGTCACAGCTCGGCAGTTCAGGCCCACGTCCTCATCAAAAACCCACACCTGCTAAAATAAGAAGGCAAGAAACACATCAGGTCCCCGGTACACCTCCTCTTCTGGGCCATCAGTTTGTAAAGCAGATGTTTGGTCCCTTATAAACAGACGTTAATGACTCCTCACCTGCACCCAGGAGTTCAGGCGGCTTAGCCCCACAACCCTCCCTTGCCCCGGGCCCCCCGCACCTGGGGCACCAGCTCCACGGAGCCGATGTAGGTGTCGGGATGGAGCAGGATGTGCTCCAGCTGCGTCTTCTTCTGGTACGTGTGCTCCACCGAGATCCGCTTCTGGGTGCCATCGCCCCTGGGCACCCGGGGGTTCCCGTCTGCGGGCTGCTCGGGGGGAGAGGCAGCAGCAGTGAGGGACAGCGGGATGTGGGAGGGGAATTGGGGGGGGTCAGGTTGGGGGGGAGTTGGAGTGGGCCCAGATGGTGGGGGACCCCAACACGGTGCCAGGGGAGAGGGGGAGGATGCCGGGAGGGGCCCGAGGAGAACGTGGATGGGGGAGATCTCAGAGGAACGGGGGATCTGAGCAGAGCGGGGGCACTGGGGGAAGAGGCCATGAGGGGGGCCCGGCGGGAGCTGAGGGAGGCCCAGGACGCCCAGGGGACGGGGCGGCGGGGGAACCCCAAGCCCTGCGGGGACAGTGGGGCGGGAGAGAGTGGCGGGGGCTGCACACCCTGGGAGGGGCGACAGGGACTGCTGGGGCTCCAGGAAGGGACAGTGGGGGGACGGACAGCGGTATCCACCAAGAGAAGAGCGAGGGGAGGGCACTGTGCGGCGGGGCCCAGCGCCTGCACGCTTGCCCTTGGTGCTGGGATGCACTGGGACGCACTGGGCACCTTCTGGGGACGCGCAGGGACCTACTGGACAGGCCCTGGGCACCCACTGGGCTGGCCCTCCTGTCACACTGGGGCACACTGGGCAGGCACCGGCACTGTATTGGGCAGGCCTGGGCACACACTGGCACCCACCGGGCAGGTCCCGGGGACATACTGGGAGGCACTGGGCAGGCCCTGGGGGAACACTGGGGACACTGGGGCACAGGACTGGCTCTTCAACAGGCACCGGGCCCTGGAGCGTGCGCCCCTGTGCCTACCCCACAGACACCAACCAGGGGGCTGCCGCCATGTGCAGGCAGACACCCAAACCTCTCTGCTGCTGCCAAACCCCCCGCCTCAGCCCTGCCCGTGCACCCTTGCCTTCCTCCTCCTCTGTGGAGCGCCTGACGCTGCCTGCTTCTTGGCCTTTCTGCCTCCTCCCGGTGC